ATTCCTACCGCATCTAAAACCAATTGCTGTTCTGGCCATACAAATGGTCAAAGCCTCTCGTCCATTTCTTTCCACTTTCAAAATTCTTCAATATAATCCATAACTATTTTGTTACTTTTAAAGAATCTTACGAAAAATTATATTCGAAAAAAAATTTCGCATATACGTACTTGAAACAAAATTAAGAAGAGAAGACCAATGCATAATTGCATATTTAAGGTAGATTTTGCTTCACTTTTTTTGCAAGTGTGTGATTAAAGTTTTTGGGGCATATCATGAGGTTGTTTTTTGTAACCGTAAAGATTTAATGAACAACAATTGCGTAGACAACAAAAACGTAAGTAAATGTTGGTCAGATGAATTTAAAGATTTAGAGGATAAATTTCTTTACTTGATCAATAATACAAAGAAACTTCGTTTTCACATATCCTTATCAACGTAAACGTAACATAGAAGTTATATTGATGGTATACTACTTCCTTGTCTAAATGATTAATCTACTGTAATATAGTTGGCAAAGCAAAATTAAAGTCTTTTTTTTTGTAAATCTGAAGGTTCGCTGAACCTCAGACCAAATTTCGGAACTAATAAAAATGTAAAATTCCAATTGACAAGTAAACTCATATAAGAGATTGAGTATAGCTAGTAAATATTGTTCAGCATAAAATTTATTTTATTATTAACACGAAATGATAATTTTCATGATCTGGCACATAAGCGTACAATTATTCATCATGAGACATAAATATGAACAACAACAACAACAAGCCACACAATAAGATAAAGATGAAATGAAGACCGAGATTTATTTACAGTCAGCAAAATGAGATAGGTATAATATCTATTAAAAAAGGCCAAAACAGTGTATATATATCAAACCCTAAAACACCGGATGAGATGGTTATGATGATGATGGTGATGATCAAGGAGATTATTACCGAGAAATCTAGTGTTTTCTCGATCGATCAATCCTCGAACATACCTAAACTCCTCAACGTGACAAGGGATCGTGATTGTCCCTTTTTGAGAAAAACCAAACTCTTCTTCAGCTTCCTTCAAGAGTTGCACAAACAAAGGATGATTAAAGTACATAACTGGAATCACAAATCTCTCTTGCTCTTCTCCTTGTCCTACCTTCACTGCCAAACACCCTTTTGGTACCTTTTCATGATCATGCTCATGATGATGGAGACGTGGGATGTGGAAGCTCCAGTGGCTCATGACTTTGTCTCCGTTACCCATTGGACAATAATATTAGTATAGATATATGGTTTAGTTAGTTTGTTGCCATGGTTTCTGTCTCTCCCATGTTGGTTTATTTTCTCGAGAAGATGGTTTTTGTTTTGCCTAGAAAGTGAAGGAAAATCACCAGGGTTCTTGGAGAGTTGTAAGAGATGGATGGTGAAGTCGCTTGTTGGTCATTTGCTTTGAAGATGCGTCTCTTTAATTGGTTTTAAAGAGTGATATTTCTTGTATATATAGCAAAGTTGGAGTGCGCATAATTTACTTTTCTTTTCTTTTTTTTTCTTATTTGGACCGAATTTGAATCCTTAATGATATATTTTTAAATAGAATATCGAATATAATTTACTTGAAATTTAAGCACTCATCAAACAAACTTTAATCTTATCATATGTGTATATATATATATTATTATGTACTTTTTTGTTCTTTTTTCCTTTTTGTCATCATCAAAACGTAAATGATAATTATCCAGCTAACCCTAGATTAACGGAGATGATGACACACTTAACCGTGATTATATCCCCTATATATTAATAGAGAAACATTTTTTTAAAAAAAACCTTACCATCATGTGTTATTAACAAGATTGTCACGCTGATGTGTCGCTCTCACAATGATTTGGTTTCTATTTAGATAATTACCCAAGATTTATTAGACTATTTACAGAATTTGCCATTAGTCTCATACATCCATATATCCAATTAATAATTAAAAACATACACTTTTTATTTATCTTATATTACTATATTTTTATATTTATATTTTTTATATACATTTATATAAATTTTCTTTAGAGGATGGGTAAACAATCTTTTTATTTATATTTATATTTATATTTATGTTTATATTTAAATAATAAAATATATACATTTGGTTCAAGAATCTCGAATTCAAAACTACAAAATCTTTACATCTTTCATAAATTTTTTACTTAGATAAATAAGATAATCTCCTTTCTATATATGTTACGAATACTTAAAATCCTATTTTTTGGAGGAATTCTAACTTTTCGAAGAAAAACATTATAACCACATCTGTATATAAACCAAAATATGGCCACATTATAACCATTTCGTAAATAATCCATTCATAATCTAAGAATCGTAGATTTAGAACACTACAAAATCTTAGCTTGGAAACTATCAAATCTCATCTTTGCTAAATTTTGGATTTCTTATACTTATTAAAAAAAAAAAATCTTTTTATACTACAAAATCTCGAAAGCTTTAAAACATACGGAAAGACATATTGCCATAAATGATAACATTTTGTCAATACTTTTTTATAACGTTGAAAGTTTATTCAAGGTTCAAATATTTCACGGGTAAAACATATTCTTATATGAAATAGTCTCAAATTTGAATAAAACAAAAAAAAAATTGTAACATGTTTCGTTTTACACAAACGGGTCTTAGATCCCGGATAATAATTTTACTTGAATCACTTTATCCCGCACATCGTGCGGGTTGTTATCTAGTTTAAAATTAAAATGCGCATCTTCTTTGATTGTATACGTGCTACGTGGTTTAGTCATGGTAGGAAATTTTCGGTTCGTGCAAACCGGTGAAAAGTGGATTGGTGGGTCATCTCGTCTGTTTTACAGGTTTCGTATTAACAATTAGTAAAAAACTAGCGATTGATTTACATATTTGGAATCTTACACATGTTGCCTTTCCCAAAGTATTTTCCATACGGCTTTGCCTTCTTCTTTTCTTCGCTATTCAATAATATGCTAATTCACATCAAGAATAAAGTGAAATTCTTGGTGGTGTCAATTGCAATATTGATTTGTTATTGTTTGTAGATTTATTTCCCCTCCAAAGACGATTCATTTATTAGAAGAAGAAGAAGACATATAATGTGTAGTACATATTGGTCAATATATATATATATATATATATAGACATATAATGTGTAGTACATATTGGTCAATATATATATATATATATATATATATATATATATATATATTGTTATTTACAAACGAATCAATGCGTAAATCTTTGGAGAAATATAATAAGTTTAAAGAGACGCTTTTAAATGGGGACAAGCGAATTAATGGAAGTACGTATAATTGTACAGAAAAAGCTACACCTCATAGATTGTTGGAATATCTAGTGGAGAATATTATTTTATAGGTAAATTCCCACTTGAAATTAAAAATATATTATGCCAAAATGCTTTTACCTTTTTATATTTCTCTGAAAAGATATTTTCTTAGCCTGTCAGAAAAAGAAAAAAAAAAAAGTGAAATGGGCCGTCAAGCGCAGGCCCGAAATTTTGACATAATACTAGGTTGGTTATTTATGGGCTAATAGCCTAATACTTTGGTTACATTGACTTTTTCTCCTCGATAAAGAAATGTTTGGCAAACTCGTTTTCTTTTTAATTAGTACTATTTTGCTACAAACTTAACCACAATCACATTGCAATTTTTATCAACAAAATCAGATTCGAAATCAAGAAATGTGTTTCTTTCTTATCACTGCCTAGTCCTGCCTTATAAAGCAACAACTGAATCGAACTAATTAATTCACGTATATGATTCAATCAGTTTTTTTTTTTTAAAAAGAAAAAAATTAAACCACAAAAACCTGAACTTTGAAAATTAGTCGATGAGCAACACAGATTTTTGATTCAGAGCAACATCCAATATTAGCACATGTGCATTTATGTTACGTAGAAAGTCGCGATTGAATTATTGAGAGAAGATGTCACATCTTCATAAATACTAGGAAAAGGTGTGACATGAAGAGATAAAGCACTTTGACAAAGCAAAAACAAAAGACTTTTCAATCTCTTTTTGATATATTTTCCCATAGTCAAAACTCAAAAGCTTCAATTTCCCGTGAACCCTATTTAGCTAGTTTAGTCAATCACATTAAATTATTAGGTTAATTGTTCTGAATAACTTCACATCCAAACTTATTTACAGAAATCAATAAAAATAAGTAAGTCAAGACAATTATAACTGAAAGATCATTTATATATATATATATATATATATATATATATTTATAATTTGGCAAGGGTGGAGGAGTGGAAGCACTATTGCTGAATGCCTGAATCATTCTATTTCAATATGTATACATCTTAAAATTTATAGATTTCCCATAAACCTAGATAGATCTGCTCCTGTTGGTTAGTGACGAAAAATCAAAATCAGTTGCAATCAGCAAAGATTATATTTTCTTGCAATATAATGAAAACTATAAGCTACTTTAGTTATGTAAATATGTAATTCTGTAAAAAAAAGTAAGTCTAAATCGCCAAAATGTTTGACTAATAACTACACTGCATGTTACTGTTTTTTGTCAAACAAAAGAAAACTATGCTTATAGGTTACCGATCGATTGCTTTCTGAATTAATCAACTAAATACGAATTCTTCACTTAAAAATTGGACCAAAATTATATTCACAAAAAAATCGGTAAGCATATATAGCGACTTTTAACTCTTTTAAATATTTTTACAGATATGCTATTATAATCTCACGTTAGCAAATTTAAAACAGTTTTCAATTTGAACTTTTTCTGCATTTGTATAGAAAAAAGATTTTATTATGGAGCAGTAAGTTTATAAACACAATTTTAAAAAGGAGAAAAACTTATAACTATTGGATCAATGACTATGAGCATAGAAACAAGTAGTATAAATTGAGAGAAAGAGATAAAGAGGACAATAGTAATTATACATCATTGTCAAACCAAAAGAATAAGGTTTTGTAGTTTTCCCAGAGTGATTGAAGGCAACATGTTGAGGGGGATGAAGCCTGGTCCGACGATACCATCTATATATATGTACATTACACAATCATATAATGCATCATAACATGTAAACATGTGTATGCGTTTATGATATCCTCGATCCAAACAACATTCCCCACAACGGAAATGGCCTCTTCACGATAATCAGTCGCAGCTGATCAATCTTAGAGGAGTTATTTATATGTACTATGTAGAAAGAGAAAGTGATAGAAGACATTAGAGAGAGAAAGAGATGATGACGATGGTGTTATGATGAGGGAATGATGAGGATAAGAGAAGGAAATGGGCTTTTAAGAAGACTGAAACAAGTCGTCATTCCAAAACCCTAGCCCTTGTCTTCTTTTAAAAAAAAATGGTGTACTTTAATACTCAGCCGACATGTTTTAAATTGAAATTTTACATATTCTTCAAAAGAATTTTAATTTCCTTATTTTCAGAAGCTGGCAACCACGTCTAGCTATGTTATTAGTAACTTTTTTTCGTTAATTATCTAATTCCTTCTTTACTAATTGGACATATTTTCAAAAAAGAAAATTTTAAGAAGATAGATCACCGTATTCATAAACTACTATACTGGTATAAAGTAATGAAGTTATATTATAGAGCCATGCCTAATGTATATGAGCATTCGATCCGTATAAAACCTAACATTTTTAAACTCGGTGTGACTATTTGATAATCAATATACTATATACATAAAGATCTCGATCATACATTCATACCTAATAACCTAAACCATTAATTCTTCGTTATACCAATTCAGATTGTCCAGAAAACTAGAATATAATTGGTCGAAATTAATCTATCATTTAACAAAAAAATATATAGACATAGTATATTGAAATTGAGAAATAAAGAAGGCAAGATAGGAAATCGTCAGAGTAGTAGTTGGGGTACATTGAGGATGACCAGTTGTAGAAACATATTTATTTTTGTTTTACTTTTTTAGGTACACTGCCAAGTTCCCACTTTATCAGTTCATGGCACGTTTCAATTAATCTATATTTATACTTGAATTTTATTGTTTAACTCAATTTTTTGCCTAACAAATACACATAATTTCAATTGGACAGTAATATATGTAACTGACAAATAAAAATACAGTATAATTTTGTAATTAAAAAAATCTATTAATTATTAATGGAATATATTCTAGTTTATTTTCATATATATAGATATATTGTTATTATTATTATGTAGATTTGTTTTATACATTTTTGTGTAACTTCATAATATTTTGATTCTGGGTAAGAGGAGAAGAATGTAAAGGCCGTATCTGATACATTACCTTTTAATGGAATTGAATATGTATGTTTTGATAGTTTAATAACTATAAACATCTGTCATATGATTATATGCGCACAAATATAAGAAAATTTGTAGAATCATGAGGTCTAAGCTAATTGGAAGTATTAGTGGAAAAGTTGTTCAACGGGAAGACATTACTCTTGTTTCTTTATGGCATGGGGTATTTTTCACTTGAACTTCACGCCACTGTCTAAACTCTAACCATAGATATTCCCAATATCTATAGTTTTTTCTTAATATTTCACAATATTTTTTGAAGAAATCATTTTTTTTTTAATCATTAATTATTACTATTTCAAAATTAATAAATACAGATATGAATGTGCATGCAGATAGTCTGGCGACGACTACGTCCTGTGACATTGTAATTAGGGAAGTAATAAATACAATAAAATTAAAGCATGCTGTCAAGTTTTGAGGCATGTTTGTCTCTATGCTCTTCAGCTAATGCTATCCAGCTCTCTCTCTCTTTTTTTTTTCCCTACTAATTTTGAATACCTTTTTCAGTTTTAGTATTTAATTTGTATAATCTTTTTCATTAGTTTTGCAATTTTTCCATATAGCCTCTGTTATTTAGGATGAAAATTTGAATTTTGTAGGTTTAGTTTTGGGAATATTGCTGATTTTGGCATTTGTGGGCCAAAAATTTGAGAAATGGAACTATGTATCAGGCCTTATGGTTTTAGGCATTTCTGGGCCAGAGAAAAAGACAGATTTGCCCCTCTATCTGTATATTCTTCTTCATTCTTCGGACGACAACAAACCCTCAGCTTTCTCTAAACCAAAAATTGTGATTCCTCTCCGCCAACATTATCTCCGATGAGTTCTATGAAATCAGTTAATTTTGTTTTCAATTAAAGAAACTAAATCCTAAGGGATAATATCTACTAAACCCAAGGGTTTCAATTGAAAAGAAAGGGTGAGGGATCGACGGCCTGAGATCTGAGAAGGGAGTGGTGAGATTGCAGACCAAACACGATCACACGAACTTGAAAGTTCGCAACTCTCTGTCAATCTCTAAATCCCAATTAAAAAGGGGAAATTGAAAATTGAATAGAAATTAAAAAATCACTTCTTCAAAAGCTTCCCTTTATCGGCATTCTTATTGAGCTAATTCGTTTGGGCGATCAGGTTGTGTAGTCGCAGGGAAAAGATCAGAGCATCATCGTTTCGTTGGCTTGGTCGAGAGAAAGAAAACAGAGACGAGAGAGACGAGAGAGACAATCAATTGTCTTATGTGATAAGGGTAAATGCGACAATTTGCTTCAATGAAAAATGCCTAAACGAGTAATACCTGACAAACGTACCTGATCTGATAATTTTCCCTGGAATAAGTGCTGATCCGGTAATTGATTATTTAGTTTTTGGTTGTCTTATGTCAATTTAAATGTTACTATGTTTATGTTTGACCCCAAAAAAAGTTACTACTATTTTCCGTTGTTAAAAGTGAACTATGTTATTGCACATCATAGGAATTTGTATTCTGATTTGACTTTTCGTTTAATATAGTTACTGTATCAGTTTGACCAACAGCTGTATATATACACAATAACAAAATACATGTACCAGTGCATTAACGGAAGAATAAATTTTTTGTTTGTTTGTTTATAATTAGTATAGTTTTGTTTTAGTCAAAAGTATCTATATGCAAATAAAATTCATACTGTATAATGTTTTTGAGTATGATATGTTGAGCAGGCCCAATATTTATGTCTTATGGGTGTCAATAAGGACAAGGCAATTAGCCAATTAGGTCCTTTTCTAATCTACACAGCCGATTACATTTACACGATTACACGAATGGCCCGTAACAAAAAAATAACATTACATTATAACTTAAAGTAAACTCAAAATACATTAACGTAATTAAGTTTAGACATGGATATTATCATAGCATTGAACTGAAATTTTCGTAAAATAGATTATAATGACATTAAAAATTGTAGATAATATCACGGTTTAAATATTTTAATGTGATTTACGACATATGACATTCACCAACTAAAGAAACAAAGTGTATAAAGATTCATTTCTCTTATAACTCTGCTTAGAATTCTGTAGACATTCATACGAATGAAATTAATCTAACGTTTTTAAACGAAAGGTTAACATGAAGTAAAGAGAAACAAAATTTTTATCTCATTGCTTCATATCTTATTACCATCAAAATAAAGCCCAAAACCAATATTCAATGGGCCGGCTCAAACCTTATCTTCTAAATTACATAAATCAATCCAATGTAAATTTAAATTTAAGGCCCATTTTGTGCTTGATTTTTTTTAGCGCCAATTTTTGAACTTAATAGAAAAAAAAGATGTATACACCGTTTTTCGATTTTCTTTGTTTGTAATTCGATATATAGTTCTTGATGATATCGTGAAGTAATTTATATCCGGGAACAGTATAAATTAATAATATGAAGAGATGATTGTACTACAATATGTGCAATTATTTAAAATAGTATTGAAGAAAAATCACAACTTTGATCATAATCGATCGTTAAATGGACGCCTGGTTCTTGATCGATGGAAGATGAATCGAGGGAAAGAGAAGTGTTGAATCCTTGGACGTTACTGTTAATGAACATCATAATCATTGGCTCTGTTTTTTTCTCTGACCAAATTGCCCTTCCCCTGTTTTTAATGCTAACTTTTCCGGTGATCTCTGTTTTCGGAATTTCATTTTTAGCAGGAATCTTGTTCATGAGGTTGGCGTCAGGTTTCTCTGGATTCTGATTTTGATCCTTTTTATGATCTGGTGAAGTGTGAGATTCATTGTTTGTAAGTTTTGGAGAAGGAGATTTGATTTGGTTAGCTTTAATTTGGGGTAACAATGGTTTAGGTGACGGTATGATTTGTGATTTGATTGGGGATGAAAGCGGCGGCGGTGCGGGAATTGGTGATTTTATCGGCGATGGAGACCTCTGTGCCGTCAGAGATGGTGGTGGCGTAGGTGATTGATATTGGTGGTTTTCACTAGCTTTCGGAGACAACAATGGCGATGCTGGTGGTGATGAGTGTGTCTGAGATCTTGCTTGTTTATCAGATTCAGGAGATGACGGTATTTTTTTAGGCTCTGGAGTAGATTTTGATGGTGGTGATGGCGAAATCGGAGGTGATTCATCAATGGATTTAGACGGCAAAGGCGGTGGTGGCGGTTGGTGTTGCCATTCTTCAGTTGCTTGTAGCGTTGACGGCGGAGGCGGTGCAATTTTAGCTTCTGGCGATGATAAGGGTTTTTCACCATATTCTGATAATGACGGAGACAATGATCGGAATTGAGTTTCTTCAATAGATTTTGACGGCAGAGGAGGTGGAGTAGCTTTTAGCATTGGCGACGGTGGAGTTTTGACTTCTAAGGGTGGTAAAAGTGGCTGAGATTTAGCAGTTTTTAACAATGAAGGTGGTGATGCCTCCGACCGAAGCGGTGATCGGAGCCGAGTTTCATCAATGAATTTGGACGGCAAAAACGGTGGAGACGGTTGGGGCTGGGACTTTTCCGTAGCGTTTTTCGTCGACGGCTGAGGCGATGTAACTTTAGCTTCTGGTGGTGGTAAAGGCGGTTGAGATTCACCAGAATCTAGTAATGAAGATGCTTGCGACAGAGACGGTGATCGGAGCCGAGTTTCATCAATGGATTTAGACGGTGGAGGTGGTTGGGACTGGGATTCTCCAGTAGCGTTTAGCGTTGAAGGTGGAGACGGCAGAATTTTGGCTTCTGGTGATGGTTGTATAGGTGGTTGAGTTTCACCTGTTTCTGACAATGACGGTGGCGATGATCGGGACTGAGTCTGGTTAAAGGATTTTGACGGTAG